AGAGTAAATAAAACCTAAAAGGTGCAATAGATACTGTGAAAGGGAAATAAACTGCTCCAAGGGAAGGAACTGGGATAAAGGAAAGGAGAAAAGAAAGAAGGGAAAAATATGTATGTATATACAAGGATAGCTGGGATAATTGTACTGCTGGTGTCTGTTGGTTTATTGAAAGGAACAGTTAATGCTTGCATTTTTTTTTCTTGACCAATTTTCCATGCTTATATCTGCTAATCTGAACAACTACTTTGAAGACAACAGTATGCAATATAACAACCATTGTTGAATTCCTACCATCTTGTTTAGTGCAACTCTGCATCATGTCTAATTTTTTTATTACTTTTTGTATTCTTTAATTGTTTGATCAATCTTGCATTCTTACATATGGTAATCTGAGCAACTTCATTGAAGATAACAATGTGTAATATAACAACCATTGTTAATTCCTATCATCTTGTTTTAAAATCTTGTTTTTATTGTTTTTGTGTTGTTTTATTTTTGTCTTTGTTGTTATTTTGTTATTGTTTTTTTCTGTAAAATAAAAGAAACAAATATAAATGAATCTAAGCAAGGAAATAAATGCTTTCTTAAAAATAACTCTAGTACTCTGAAAAAGAGCTTGAAGAGATCATCACAAATGACAGAAATCTGTTTTTGATAGGCAGAGCCAATATTGCCATATTAACAAAACTGATATACAGATTTGGTATAATTCCAATCAAAATATGAGCAGTAATCTTTTCAGAATTAGAAAAAATAATTCTAAAACTTACATGGAACCAGAAGAGACCCAGAATAGCAAAAGGCATCCTGGGTAAGAAGAGAAAATCAGGAGGTATCACAATCATCGATTGTAAGTTATATTACAAGGCTACATTAACAAAAGCAGCATGGTACTGGCACAAACACCAGACATGGGGATCAGTGCAACAGAATAGAGGATGCAGAAACAAACTTAGGCACATCTAACCATCTAATCTTTGACAAAAGGGCCAAAAACTTATGCTGGGGAAAAATATAGTGTCCTTAACAAATGGTTCTGGAAAAACTAGTGGTCCACATACAGAGCTATCAATCTAGATTTATATCTTTCACCTTGTACTAAAATAAAGTTAAAATGATTCAGAGACCTAGATATTAAAATAGAAATAATCTGCTGGAAAATAAAATAGACAAGATGCTCAAGGAAATAAGTATAGGCCAGAGTTTTTTGAGCAGAACCCCAATTGGGCAAGAAATAGCACCAAGAATCAATAAATGGGATTATATAAAGTTAAAAAGTTTCTGCACAGTAAAGGAAATAACAAAAAGAGTGAAGAGACAGCTTACAGCCAGGGAAAAATCTTTGCTAGCTATTCCTTGGACAGGGGACTAATATCTAGAATATATAAAGAACTCAAAAGTTATAGAGTCCCTGAAATAAAAATCCAATTAAAAAAGGGCAAACCAAAAGAAGTAAAAATCCCAAAAAAAAAACAAAAAAAGGGCAAAAAACAAAAGAAAAAAATTCAAAAACCTTGGAAAGTAAAAAAAAGAAAAACAAAAAAAAAACGAAAATTCAACCTGATCCAAGAAAAAAGAACAACAATCAAAAATCAAAAAAAAAAAAAAGCCGGGGAATGGGGGGAAAAAAGAAACCCTTAAAATGGTGGGGGGAAAGGAAAACAACAAAAATTAAGGAAAACAAGAAGGAAAATCCCCAAAAAAACAAAAAAAAAAAATCCTGGGGCCCAACCTAGAACCCTTGAAAAAAATCCCCCCACAAAAATAAAAGGAACAAGATAAAAGGAAAAAAAAAAAACCAAGAATAAAAAAACAAAAACTAAAAAAGTAAAACCTGGAAAAGGCCCAAAAGGCCAACAAAAAAAAAAAGGAAAAAAAAAATATAGTATATATACACAATTGAGTACTATGCATCCACAAAAGAGCATAAACTTGAACCATTTGTAAAAATATTGATGTACCTTGAGACCATAATACTAAGTGAAATAAATCAGACACAGAAGGTTAAATATGGCATGGTTTCTATCATATGAGGAATCCAAAGTATACATAATTTAAAGAGCAAAATAAAAGGTAGATAAGGAACAGGGAGGTAGATCTTTTGCAGTAGAATGGGGTTGAAGGATATAGGGAGCAAGAAGGAAAAGGAGGTAGGGGGAGGGAAAAAGGGTTAAGATGTGGTATGTATATGTACCAACTCCCCATGGTGGATATAGTCACTATGTATCTGTTATGTTTTATATCTAGATGTCTCCCCAAAGCCTCTGTGCTCAGAGGTGTGGCTTTTGGGAGGTGGCTGGATCGCGGGTGTGTGATGCTCATCATTGGATCAGTCCACTGATGGGTTTATAGCAGGGTGTGAGGTTGGGAGGTGAGAACTGGTGGAACAGGTGAGTCATGGGCATGGCCTGGAAGAGGATATATCCTTTCTCCCTCGATCCCTTACTGCTTCCTGCCTGCTATTCCCTAAGCAAGGCTCCTCTGCCATGAACTCTGCCCTGCCGCCCTGCCTTGAAATAAGCTATGGACTGAAACCTCTACACACTGTCAGCTAGAATAGACCTCTTCTCCTTTAACTTGGGGGGTATATGGTATTTTTATTACTGCAATGAGAAGTAACTAAGACAGTACTGCAAATACGTACTATTAACAAAAAAGAATGAAGTCTTAACTGCAGTTTGTAGCTAAGAGAATCCAGAGCTTTCTCCAGCTTTTCAAAGACTTGGCTTGAATGATATATCTCTCTATAAGTCCTTCCTAGGCCAGATTTTTTTGTAATTACATTTTATTAGCAGAGCTCAACTCTGCTAACAAAATGTGATATTTGGATTCTTTAGAGATTGTAATATTTCCTTTAAGAGTTGAGTTTATAAACTATGGAAACAGGTGTGAAGCCCAATTGTGTGATCTGTGGCTTAACTCTCACTTTTTGTACTTTCCTGGATCCGGACGGATGAATCATTTGAGTTGAGCACAAAAGGTTCAGTCCAGGGAGCTGTCTTTGAGAGGCATTGCTTTTTTGTTTGGTGTTGGATGCCCAACCAGTACAAAGGCATTATTTGTGGTAAGATAAAAAGGAATTGTTGCATGGTGGCACACACTTCTAATCCCAGAACTCAGGAGGCTGCGCTACACAGTGAGTTCAAGGCCAGCCTGAACTGTGTAGTGAAACCCTGTCTCAGAAAAACAAGAACAACAACAACAAAAGATTGTTAATAATGGCCAGATACAAAAAAGTCAAAGAAATGGCCAGCAAAAGTAAAACACAGGTAGCCAAATTAAAGCAAAATAAACATAGCAGTACTGTTTCAGCTTCTTATGCTATTTGCTATTGATCTTTTATTTCTTTTTTCCTTTGTCACTATTCCACTTATTACTTCCACAGTTTGTACACACCCAAGAGTAGGTAGGTTTGGTGACTTGGTGTAAAGAGACATTCAGAAATTGTAGTGTGTACTGCCTTTAAGGCAAAACAGGGAATTCTAGATAAAGAGACAATGAAATGGAAAAATATATCAGTGGTTATGAGCACATTGAAAACTTGTGAAGGGTGCCCAGTGGACTCCAGAATAATTCACACACATTAGTGATAAGAATGGGGACCTGATTCTCAGACAAGGTGTCTGAATTTGTCTGCCTAATCTTTTAGGCCTGGGAGCTGCCTTCAAGTGCTGGACCTGATAAACTGCGGATGACATATGGGCTCCTCCATAGTCATGGAATCTCTGGGAAGAAGTTATGATACATGAAAATCCAAAAACAGCCATCTGAGACCCAGCAGATATGTCAGCTGGCAGAGGCAAAGCTGTTGGGGGCTATATTTGGATTTTGTAAGGTGCCAAAACACAGGTTTGTATTTTTCATTGCAGTAGAATTTATTGCTTATGCCATATTTATAAAGGGGTTTTGTGCAATGTGTTTGATTACAAGTGTACCCAAGATGGGCAACAGGTACTTGACATTTGTTGCAGGAAGAGACCTTCATATCAGGGATGAATTTCTAAATTAGTCTTCACTGTTCTATATTCTTGCCTTGGAGCTGACCTGTTCAATACATAAAGTATTCCAAGAGTGTACCAAAGAAGTCTCCTCTTAGTTTTCTCATCCCTCTACTTCTCTTTTTGATAGGTACAATGGCTTCCTTATGTATTTTATTTTTCCTAACAACAGCACTAACCTGTTATTACATGGCTACATAACAACAGTGTAAATTGTTGGGCTATCTACCACAAGTTGTATGTTAGTGCATGTGTGTATATTTATGATTTCATGATTCTGATAAATACACAACAGGTTAAAAGTGCATTTTTTCTTTTATAAAAATAAAAGGGAGCTAGAAGTTCTGTACAATTAGAAGCAATGATAAACTTCAGAATATATGAAGATTGGGTCACTCTTTGGCTGTGGAATGAATTATGCTTACAACACAGTCTAGTAGCTGGAGGAAAGTGGTCCTCATTGCAAGGGTCCTGATGCTTCAGAATGGCATCATCCCCGTGACCTTTCTAATGGAGTGCTGCAGTAGTGGCAGATGGTGTAGACCCCATCAAAGGAAGTAGAAGGTGGCTTCACTTCTGAATGCAAACTTTTTAATTCTCCAAATCTGCCTTAGCTCCAAAAATTCAGTTGAGAGCAGAAAAGAAGGAAGGTAGCTGTGAAGATTGTGAAGTATAGAAGGGGCAACTATGTCTGTCATCTACACTTTCTGATAGGAGGGAGTTCTAGTACACAAGGAGGGAGGATTGTGTAGAAAGGGAAGCAACAGGTTTGAAAGTCTGTGGTGTAGACCCTGGGAACTACCAGAAAACCATTACACCTTTGTTGGGGATTCCTCAACAAAGTAAATATCTCTTTAAATGCTATAGTCCCTCCACATGTGAGCAGACAGTATAAGGTTGCCACATATGTGGGGAAAAATATTTACTTGACAAGAAATGTTGCCTCGATAAGTACTGTATCTGCAGCCCTACTGGTATCTCGTTAGGAAGCAGGTTTGGTCAGTCATCATTCTCTTGGCACTTCAGTTGGTCTTCTGAGAACCAGGGTATTTTCTTTTCTGGAAAACTTATTATTGAAATACAAGATAAACACAGCAAAGGATGTAAATCCTAGGTGGCCACCTTCCTAAATTTCTACAAAGTGAGCATTCTTACGAAAACAATTCCAAGTCCAGATGAAAAGCACAGCCACATTCCTGTTTGCCTCCCTTGTGGCCAATCGTAACATTCCTTTAAGAAAAGAGACCAGTTTTCTCACATTTATCCACATAGACTGATTTCGCCTCATTGAGAACTTCAGACAAATGGAACTAGATAGTATATATTCTTTTATGTTTGGCTTCCTACATTTGTGAAATTCATCCATGATGTCACATGGATTGATAATTCATTCTTTTGCATTGCCTTGTAGTATTCCATGGTACTCACAATTTATACATTCTACAGCTGACAAATGTTTGATTTGTTTCCAGTTTTTTGCTATTATAAATATTGTTGCTGCTAACATTTCTGGGCATGTCTTTTGTCAACTATAGTTCACATTTTTGTTGAATATGTACCTAGGGATGGAATTTCTGGGCTATAGAATATGCATATTTTCACCCTTAGAAAATAAGAAGAGTTTTCTAGAATAGCTGCTCCTACTGACAATTGCTCTTGTAGTCTACCAGGCTTCCAATTGCTGCACAGTCTCGTGGTTCTGGGTGACTAATTAACGTATGCTGATGGGCGTGTAGCCCTGTTTTACCATGGCTTAACTTTGCAATACTCTGATGGTAAGTGACAGCAGATCTTTCTGTGAATATTGGTCATTTGAATACTCTCATTAACAAAATATCTTTTTAAGTCTGTTACCCATTTTTAGAAATTATAATTGTCTTTTACTTGACTCCTAGGAGTTTTCTGCATATATGGAGAAGTCCATTGTCACAATATGCATTGAAAATATCTTCTTCAGATCAATGTCTTTCCTTTCTCTGCATTCATGTTTAGTTATGCAAGTTCTAACTGTTAATACAGTTAGTTTATCAATATTTTTGAGTTTTTGTGCCTCCTAGAAGAATAAAAATGTTTTCCTACTATCTTCTGCTTGTTTACTTTTTCCATTTAGGTCTCTGCTCTCTGTATGTTAGAAATGCCAACTTTTTTCTCTTAGGATTTCTTTATCCATTTCAGAATCACATACATTTTTGTAGAAAAACCCACTCATAATTATGATTGGAATTTGTACTGAGTGTAGATCATCTGAAGAAATTTGTGGTTTTTTTTTTTTTTTGTCTCTTTGAGACGGGGTTTCACTAGGCAGTTCAGGCTGGCTTTGAACTCATTTTGTAGCGTAGGCTGGCCTCGAATTTGCAGTGATCCTCCTGCCTCAACCTCCTGAATGCTGGGATTACAGGTGTGTGCCATTACACCCAGTCATAAATTTATGTATTTTGTTTTACTTCTTGAACAAGGTTACTCCTCTTTATATTTGAGCAGTTTACAATACATACCCATGACTTATTACTGTGTAATATAATTATATAACCACATAAATTCATGTAACATAAATATGCATTTTACTACTTTCTCTAACATTTACAATTCTCATGCTTTATATTGTTATATTCTTTTATGAGACATTTATTCAAACCTACTTTATATGCGGTAAAAGTTCTCCTTTTAGGTGTATAATCCTATGAATTTGACTAACATGTTTATGAATATATTCATTTAACTACCCATAATTAAGATCCCTAATATTGCTATCACCCCAAGTACACCAAATATTTCCTATTTCTTCTTATATTCAGTGTGATTCCTCATCCCAGCCTCTTTTAGGCACTGATATAATTTTCATTGTTCATAGTTTTATCTTTTTACCTAGAAAGAGTCATACAGTTATACAAGTTATATAGTAGAATATTTTGCATATAGCTTATTTCACATATATAATGCTTTTGGGAACCCTGCATGCTGTTGCATGTGTTAGTAGTTTATTCTTTATTATTACAGACCAGTGTTGTGCTGTGTGGATTCAGCATAATTTGTCTAATTATTGGTTGATGGTCATTGTTAAAAATTTTGGGGTAATTATGAATGAAATTGCCATGAACCATAGAGGCTTGTGTATGGACATATGTTCTCATTTCCCTTGCAAAACAGATAAAAGTCTGTGTCTGGAATAAATAAAAAGCAACTCAGTAAGAAGCAAATAAATAATTCATTTTACAAATGGGCAAATGATTAGAGCACACCTTTCAAACACAATATATGGATGGCAACAAGCAACAAGCACATAAAATAATGCTCAATATTATTGGTCACTAGAGAAGTGCAGATTGAAACTACAAGATAACAATACACACCATTTAAATGGCTAAAATTAAAAACAAAATGGAAAGACAAGTTTCTTCTGAGGATGTACAGCAGCTGGAGCATTCATACACTCTTAGTGGGAATGAAGAATAAATAGTACATGAGGGGGCTGGGGATTAACTCAGCGGCAAAAGCGCCTGCCTGGCAAGCACAAGGTCATGAGTTCGGTTCCCAGTACTGGAGAAAAAAAACAAAAAAACAAAAACAAAAAAATAAACAAACAAACAAATAGTACATGAGAAGCCACTTTGAAGATATCAATATGTAATACAACAATGATTGTTAATTCCCTACCACTTTGTTTGTAACTCCATATTGTCTGTACTGTCCTTTTGCTACGCTGTAAAATGTTGTCTGTCTGTTAAAAAAAAAATGTGGCTAGGAAAAAAAAAAAGAATAAATAGTACAACTGGTTTGGCTTCCTTCATTTTAATGAAATGATACCACAAGATATTGTTGTGTTACAATCAGTATTCATCTTATTTACCCACATGTTTATAATTTCTGTCTGTGTTTCTCTTTCTGTGATTATGTTTCCTTCTAATTGAATGACTCTGTAGTGCCACTCTCAGTGATTGGTTGCTGGTGACAAATTCTTCCTGGTTTTGGTTGTCTGGAAATGGATTTACTTTACCTGTGTTTTCATAGGATTTTTTTGTTTGGGCATGTAAATCTAGGCTTACTGTTATTTTCTGTTACCATTTCAAATATTTTGTTAAATTACCTTCTGGCTTCCATGTATTCTGTTAAGAAGTCAGGTATAAATCTCATTGCTTATGTGGTTTTCTTTGCCACAGGCTTTTGAGTTCTTTGAAAAGATTCTTTTATTCATGCCCTAAATATTCCTCACACTTCTTCTTATAAGAAAGAAGAATATGTGCAACTTGTACTTTACATACCTAAGAAACCATTTGGTGAATTTATTCTTCCATGAGTATCTCATTAGCTTCCTTCCTTCCTTCCTTCCTTCCTTCCTTCCTTCCTTCCTTCCTTCCTTCCTTGTACCGGAAATTGAACTCCTGACCTGGCACTTGCCAGGCAGGCGCTGTGCTGCTGAGCTATATGCCCAGCCCCCTGATTAGCTTTCTAAGAACTCAATCTTGTTGAGTTTCCCAACATTCCTTGGAGATGGTGAGAGGCTGATTTTCTAAATAAGAAAGATAGTAAGTATAGGGCCGAAGTGAAGCTTCGTTCTTAGAGCCTAAAGCATCTCTTCTTCCAGTATGCAGCAGTGGCCAAGCTTCTATTATTGCTGTGATCTTAGAGAAACAATTCCTTCATCTTGCAGGTGTTTTGAGGCCATGTGGAGCATGTAAGAGGACCGGGTGAACTGTAGGCAGTGTGCCTTCGTGAGCACGCAAGGACTGGGAAGAAGACACAAAGCCTTGGAGTGAGGGATGCAGCTGCTGTCAACCTCTGACCAGTTTGTTTGTATCCAGGAGTCCTGGCATTAATTACGTAAACTGACTTCAATGACCCAGTGTTCTTGTTTTAAATTGTTTTTATTGGGGGAAAAAATGAAAGGGTGCTATAGAAACAGGGAGAGGGAAAATAAATCAAACCCAGCTTGGCTTGTGTAACAAAGCATGTTATTTCATGTCCCAGAATTTCCTATAGGCAGCCCTGCAGCCCTCTTTCTATGAATGCTCTTTGTCTTATCTACCTTCTCAGAGACGTTATCATTAAGGAGGTGAAATTAAATTTCTAGAAGTGAAAAATCTCATATATCCTTGTCGTATCGTTTGGATGTGTTTGGTGGAGTAATTGGAAAGGTGAATCAATAGGTGTTTGATAGTAGCTCTGTGTAACTTGTTTTGGGCAGTGTTGTACACCCACCTCTACCTCTGTGTTATTGGCGCACTCCTAGGTGCTATTCTTCCCATAGCAGTGCCTCACATTAGGTGATGGTTAGAACGCAGGACCATTCAAAGATCTTTGGGAATCAACAAATTAATCTTTGGCCTGCATAAATATTCCTAACACTGCACCTTAGATAAAGTATTAACTATAGTTAAATATTATTATTATTATTTTTGGTACTGGAAATTGAACTCAGGACCTTGTGCTTGCTAGGCAGGTGCTTGTGCCACTGAACTATATCCTTGGCCCTAGTTAAATATTATTATTATAGGCTGTTTTCCCCTAC